CCCACACACACACACACACCACAGGTTGTTGTTTGATGTTAGATAGTAGCTCATAATTGTATAGTAGTGGTTAGTTTTAGATATTATTTGACTTGATCAGTGTTATTATAATAATAAACTTTAAAGAGCAGCTGTCTGATTACTGTTCATGTGTATTGTGATGACAGCTGATATCAAACCTTCACTGTTCTGTATAATAATAACTGTGTAATAGTACTTTGACTCTTGACATTGTGAGTAAATACTAATTATGAGTTTATAGTTTATAGTTTGGTTATTGGTCCCTGTGCCCTGTTATTATTAATCATTTTTAATAATTCTATTGATGTCAATAATTTAGTTTTTCATATTTGCTGATAACCAAACTCTGATAGATCCCTACAACCTGGTGACATCACACTGTACCTGGTGACATCACACTGTACCTGGTGGCATCACACTGTACGTGGTGGCATCACACTGTACCTGGTAACATCACACTGTACCTGGTGGCATCACACTGTACCTGGTGACATCACACTGTACCTGGTGGCATCACACTGTACGTGGTGGCATCACACTGTACCTGGTGACATCACACTGTACCTGGTGACATCACACTGTACGTGGTGGCATCACACTGTACCTGGTGACATCACACTATAGGTCAAATGTTTCTCACCGGTGTAGATGTATCGAACGTAACCGTCTGTCCACTCCTGGAATGGGTCGAATTGCTTTGTGTCCTGCAGACAGACAGACAGGCAGACGGGTTAGTGAACAGTATTTCCTACATAGTGATCTGATGACGTGTTAAAGTCTCCCTGTCTCTCTCTCTGTCTGTCTGTCTGTCTGTCTGTCTGCTCTGATTATCTGATAGTAAAGTCTGAACATGAAGCTCTCGTCTCTCTAAACATGAAGACCAGTTTGAGTCACAGATCGATCAGAGATATCGATTAGCTGGTCCTCCTCACAAACTCTTTGTTTTGGTTTCACGGAAACTAAAATATGAAAACCAGTTTCTTCTGTTTGATCAACAACAGAGAGAAGAGCCGAGTCAGCAGCGTCTCAACCTTCAGATAAAGCACACTGTGTTTGTCTTATTCAATAACTCATGTGACCGATTCAGCCCAAAACATGAAATATAAAACCTGAATATTAATCACATGTTCTGTGATTTTTACTCAACTCTGACTCAAATAAAGTGATTTAGTGAAATGAGTTAAAGTGTTTTTAGATATAAAACTAAATCAAATAAAAATGATTTATGATATAAAATGTGAAATAAAGAGTTAAAAGTATATTTAGATATGAATGTACAGAAATAACACAATGATGATGATATTAAAATATGAAACAGTCATTATTATTTGATCATATTTTCTCTGAATGTATTTCATTCATATTTTTACTTTTCAGGAGATTCCGATCTTTT